GATCTTGCGGATAGTGGCTGCGGGCATGAATTGTTTGGCTGGAAGTTCTGGTGAGGATGCTGTGGGCCTCCCATAGGCTGGCCGTAGCCAGGAGCGTACATAGGACCTCCTGGGTTGTTGAACCTTGCTGGGCCACCAGGCGCGCCTGGTTGCATAGGCATGTTGTTCATGGCACCGGGGCCAAAACCTTGATTAAATCCTGGACCTGGACGTTGCATTCTGGAAACAGATTTTTCTAATTTAATATTGTGTTTTGTCAATCACTGACTAATTTAGTCACACTGAAGACAAACTAATCCGAATAAACACTTGAAAAACTTTAAAATACACTGATTTAGATACAATATAGCAACGGATTTCACTGTATGTTTTCTCTTAAGGAATTGTATTGAATTGTATGTACTTACGTGGTGTTAATTTCAAATAAAATAAATGTAATAAAAATTCACTGGTAGTTCTACCGATCGATTTTACAATCTGTTTTATAGATTGGGGTGCGGCATCTATTTATACGTTTTTTTATCGGATTATTCGATAGAGCTATGCTATCGCTATAAATCACGACGATCGCTCTTTGTTTTTGTATCGGGTATCGCTCCGCTCTATTTTATTTTGTGCAAATAATTATTCATATTTTAAAGTTTTTAAAGAACGTTATTATTGTTGTACCTATACTATTTACTTATGCCCCTATTACCTTTAATATTATGTATCATAACTACGTAAAAATTCCCGCAAATTACCCCAATGTCCCGCATTCGACGAAAATAATATTAATATATATTTTTTTTAATGTAATATGTCGGCAAACGAGCAGACGGATTACCTGATGGTAAGCAATCAGCGCCGCCCATGGACACTCGCAACGGAGGAGCTACGAGTGCGTTGCCGATCTTTTAGGGATTAGGGATTTGGAGATTTAGGGATTGATGAGGGATTGGGGGAGCGGAGGGCCTCCGGTAACCTCACTCACACGGCGAAACACAACGCTGTGGTTATTTCACGCCGGTTTTCTGTGAGGCGGTGGTATCACTCCGGTCGAGCCGACCCATTTGTGCCGAAGCATGGCTCTTCCACACTTTAAAGTAATATTATAAGTAATTGCCAAATATTACGTCTGCAGAAATCATAGTAATCATCTGCACTGCAGCATAATTCACAGTAATCCAACGTTGTACTCGTAAAAGGATTAGGTATATTAATACGAAACTCAATAACTTTGATACAATCGAGTAATAAATTATATCTGTCTTGACTTCTTTTAATATTTTAAAGCCCTTAATGCCTTAATCTTTACGGTCTTCTAATTTAACACATAACAACAAACATTATGTTTTGTCACATGACAAAATGACAGCGATATTTATCCTATTTCAGCGTGCTCAAGATATTGAGGACTAGTGACTTTGAAATGTCCTATAGATAAATACCTATTGTTGAAATTTTTCCAACCATTTGGTCACCTGCTAATGTAAATAGGTGATTAATTTTCTAGGTATTTGTTATTAACAACTATCGTAATTGCGAACTAAGATAAAGAAAAGCGTTTGAAAATATTTGTTGTTAATTAAGAGGCCCATATTCATGAGCAGCATTCCGCGACATGCGACGCGGCGATTGTCGCAGAATGCTGCTCATGAATATGGGCCTCTAGCATGGCTTGAAACTAGTCGAGTATCTCGTCAAATTATTACGTGAGTAAGCCGAAAACATAATAATTAATTTAGAATGTCTCACGAAAGTTATAATAAAAATATTTGTTGTTAAAATGGAATAAAACAAAGATTGGCCGATTGGTCTGGATATTGACCTAGAATAAAAATATAAATAAGATGCCTAGAAGTCTGGTGGTTTTCTTAAACTTCTTGCAAATTTTCTTTAAAAACGGAAGATCAGAATCTTGGCGGAGATTATGCAATCAATTGAGCGCCTCAGGTAAGTATTGAATTAAGATTATCATAGTGATAGAGCCGTCTATTTAGATAAAGAGTACCTACACGATAAAAAGTGATTCATTATGTTGTTGAATTGAGATTAAAAGATATGCTGAATAGTGGTGTAATAGTCGAAGGAACGAATGGGGTCGTGTGGCTTCATTCAAATACTGTTACAGCAAGGACATATATTGCGGGGGAATTTTTAAGAATAAATACTTATCATTTTTATTTTATTACATTCATTATAGTACAGTTAATCCCCCTTTAGGTCTATATGTTCACATCAATTGACTTTACTGATATACATATATGCAAAAGAATGCTATTTACGTTTTTCAGCAAAGCATACAGTAACAGATCATGTACAATCTGATATGTGAAAAACCTAAGCTTTGAGGGAAAAAATTGTACCTATTCCTACATAATATAAAGGTCTTCCAAATTAACAAGTGAAAAATTGACTTTTGCTACATTGAAATCCTAATTCTGGGAAAGCTATGTTTCCGCATAAATGCGCCGGCTCGACAGAAGCGATACCACAGTCTCACTACACTTCGGCCTGAATCTACGCTTGACAAGAGTTGTATGAGTAAGGTTAGCAAAGCCCCAACCCTCCTCTTCCCCCCATCTCTGATCCATAAGTTTTCTATCCTTGAACGTCCAAAAGTTTTCATCGCTCTCGTAACTCTTCTGGTTCGCGGCAGTCCATGGGCGGCGCAGATTGCTTATCATCAGGTGATGTGTGCTCGTTAATAATATAATGTATGACGTGATTCACTGTTTAATGGCTTACAAACATAGTAAAATAATATTACAGGCCACCTGAATTGATGAAAGGACAAAAGATCACCTAAGAATTCTTAGAGTCATCGGTAGAAAACACTCTTGTTATTTGCATTGGTTAGATTTGTATTAACGACTAACCTACCTATAGATGTAAGTATCTAGGCTTGATAATACATTTGGAGTAGGTAGTCAAAACTACTTGAAAACAATAACAAAGAATTTAAGATAATATCATAGACATGGATTACTAAGGATAGAGAATAACTTGATAAAAAGTTTCCAATACACTATTATCTAAAACCTTGTGTGGTTACTGGGTACGATGTCCTAGATTTATTTAGGTATTGGATAGGTATCACACGGAGTTACACTATTTTTTTTTTATGGAATACGACGAAAGTGCGCATACTCAATGTACGTGATCTGTGCCGCCCACGGACACATGTGGCACCAGAGAACAGGTGCATTGCCAACTAAAATTTGTCCAGTTTAATCATGAGCTATTTAATTTCCTAGACAGAATAAGCTGCCTTGTCCAATCAACAGAACTCTCAATCGATGAGTAGGCAGGAAGCGATAATGAATGCATTTAGATGAGGATGAAGATAAGTGCCAGAATTGTGCAATCTGTTTAGCGTTCCATTTTGTCTGCTTACTGTAGTGGAACACAGATATGACGATATGTTCATTGTACATATGTGTACATAGACTATATCCCCTTTATTACAAAGCGAGATTTATCTTTAGTCTAGGTTTAAGCCATTGTATTTTGAATCTAATTCTCACCTGTCTTCAATTTCAAATACAATAACTGGCTCAATGGTTTAGACCTAGACTAAAAAAAACTGTTTTTGTTGAGGTTTGAACGGACAGTTCTTTCGATATTGCACGCGTGTACATACATACATCTATACTAATATTATAAAGCTGTAGACTTGATTTGTTTGAACGCACTAATCACCGAAACTACTGGTTCAAATGGAACAATTGTTTTTGTGTTTTTTAGTACATTTATCTAACAAGGCTACCATTATACCATACCATACTACATACAGGCATACGTTGCCTAAGCCTTATTATACCCTTAGGAGCCATGTGGGTGTCCATTGGCGGCGCTGATTGCTTTCCATCAGGTAATCCGTCTGCTCGTTTGCAACCTGCATCACATAAGAAAGAAGACAGCAAAGAAATATTTAGCGATGTCGGTGTTAGGTGATCTAGAGATAAGGGCTCAGCGACACATTTAGCTTTTTTTTTATTGAAGATATAGTAAAAATTGCCTTAAACCAAAGCAAAATATAAATGGAAAATATTAGGGAATGTTTGACAAAAAAAAATACAATGATTATTTAAATATTGAGATGAGATACTTCCTGATGTATTTGAACTTGAAGTATCGGCAGATGTACGATAAGACTTATCAAACAAACAGAAGAAATGACAGTTGCTTTCATTTTACCGAGACCTAAGATAACGATAGACCGATAAATGTGATAAAATTGAAATAAAAAAAAAATGTTGCGCTACCAAAGTCATTAAATGATTGTACCAAATTGCACCATTTGTAGGTAATCCTTGATGTTTAAAATGTATTGTAGACTTTTTCACCCTTCTTCAAGTGTGTTTACCATAGATATTCCTTGATAACATTACAGCAGTATAGGTTTTTTTTTTGTGAGGTGAAAATCATCAAATGACTTCTCCCGCCCAGGGCCGGGCAGGAGGGAGTGTCAGACTTTTACTGACTAAAAACCCCCCTGTTCCTTCTCCTGCTCTGTGCCGAAGTCGCGGTACCTCATTGCGCTTACCCCGCAACCCCGGCTGAACATCAGCCCTTTAGGGCCCCGTCTGTGGTGGTCTAATGGCTCTTTGAGGCGCGCGCGGAACGCTACGCGCCGTACGCTCGGGCCTGGTTCTGGTCGGGCGGCGAGCTGGCCTTACTCGCCGACCGCAGACAGTATAGGTGCAATGATCATAATTTCTAATCACTTATGAATTAGATATTTTATGTTCTTTTAATTGGTATTGTTTTTCGAACAACTCAGCAACACCCGTTAGTTGAACTGGCTGCCAACTGATACTTGCGTGCCTATCTTCAGAGCGTGTCCATTTAAACTGGTGTGGTTCTCTCCTCAAAAGATCGCTACAGAATGAATTTGCACGGTTCTCACACATTATATTTTTTACATTATCTGGACTAGACAAGTACTGTACAGTCATACTAAACCAGCTGAAATGATGGAAATTACTATGGATCTAAAAATACCTCTTGTTATTTTGGGGAAAATTTGTTAAAGGCACAAAAAAGAAAACACTTTCATATAAAAAATAAAATCTATTTACCTTAAATTAAATTGGTTTACAAAATGCTTTTTATTCACTTACAATAATAATAAATACTACTTAACCTCCTTAGTTTGCAATGGTATTTTTGTTTCTGGATTCTTTTCAGTTTCTGCAAGATCTGTTGGATTAGTTTTTAAGTCTACTGATTGCCGTAGTTTCCTTGTTATTAGGTAGGAGAACAATTGGATAAATGCTAGCCCTATTCCTGGCAGTAGCCATGCATCTGGCATAGTTGCAACAGTCTTTGTGTACAGCAAGGAGTATAATGGTGAAGACATTGTCTGCATCGCCGATTCTAATGAGCCCATCACGCTGTAAATTTTACCTGTAAACAAATTTCATGCTTAGCCTTGTGGTAATTAGAGTAAATGTTGATCGAAACAATTTAATGATTTGATAAATATTTCGGGATCAAATAGTTAATTTTCTTTCATTGGTTTTGGGTTATTGCTAATTTGTTATGTATGTTGAGTAGATTATGCGGTGAGCATTGCTGATAACTTTATTTTGTTAAAATATTATAATAATATCAGTGTACATCAAAAAATAAAATAAAATAATGTGTCATACACAGAAAACCGGAACTAGTCGGGAAGAGATTAAGATCTAAATTACAATGAAATGAATATTTACCTTGTTCTGTCGGTAGTATCTGCTTGTTTAGTAAAGGTCTTTGTACCACTTGCGAGCCTTGTGCTATAATACCAACCAAGGGCACTGGAACAAAAAACATGTATTTTTAAAACCTGAGTTAGTTGTGAAAAATCGCTAAATATATTTAAATGTAGGATTTATATTTGATTGATATCGTTTAAATGTGGAAAACTAAGTATGGGAGGGCACTAGCACGACCGGAGTGACACCACGGCCTCAAAGAAAGTCGGTGTAACACTTGCGTTGTGTTTAGCCGTATGAGAGAGGTTACCGGACGATTAAGCCTTGTTGTTTGCAATGTTTCAAAGGATAGGAGGAAGATAGTCTCAAAGGAGAAGCAAGTCTTCCTGGTAATGTACCAGGCTATGGAACAGACGGGTCAAGAAAAGGTTTCGACTCGCCATGCAGTAGCCATTAGGGTGAGTCTTAGGAGTCCTACACTCCTGTGTAATTGTGTGACATTAGGTTATCCATATGCCACCTTTTGAATGTTTTTATTAGTACTTATGGCTACGTGCCAAACAGCATCTATATATCTATCGATATCTCACTTTCCTAACACAACACAGGATCATTTCGTGATATTTAAATGTTCTTAACATTTTGTTATCCAATTGTCGATACGAGCTCGTGTTTCCTTCCAATCTACATGTTATCAGATGATAAAGCAATGATTGGCGAATCAAGCTGAATGTTCCTAATTTTATGTATTACCTCACGTTACATACTCGATAGTGACAAAGTCTGCAAGGATCTTCAGCTGCTAAGTTCAGTATTGTGATAATCGTTATCGATTCTGTAACTGAACTAGTGTATGAGGATTTTTTAAATATCCTCCTCATCAATATGTTACGTGGTCAAAAGTTGAAACCTGGCCACGGGTGCATGTTCATTGTTATCAACCATTAAGCCTCTTTTGGATATTTTATCACACGATCTATTGCTGATTTTGAATAGTCATTAATGATGGTCAAGTGTACCTCGTGCACATTTGTATGTTCCGAAAAACGATTAATATGATTAATCGATTTGAGATACGACCGCATTTCACATGTTATAAGAACAGCAGGTACTTATTTAATTGAAAATATAAAAATATATGTTTGACATACAAATAGCTCATAGCTATAGTCTTTTTTGTATTATGACTTTCGAAAGACATATAATAAATTAGTATCGACAGCAATATACGACTTTTCTTCTTGTGACATCAATAAAAGTCCCTAGCGCGGCTTGAAAATAGTCGAGCTAACTCTGTAAAACACCTTACGAAAAAATACCATCGTATTTTTTTAAATTAGCTGTACGCTGATAAATAATAATGATTTTTCTACTCTAACTATTTCCACTCTCGTAATAATAGCCAATTAACGGACTACACATTTGGTACAGACTGGGTAGCAGCGCCCTCTGTGAATGATGAATCTAAAAAACTTTTTAGAATTACGATCTATAAAGCAGCTTGCCCGCCTAGTGGAGATTTAAGCAAAGTCAAAGTCAAGTCAATATCATTTATTTCAATTAGGCCGTTACAGGCACTTTTTAACGCTAATCAAACCTTAAAGATAGATAGTGTCAGTTTGCAGGCCAGAAGGATTCCTCTACCATACTTGAGAAGAGATTGTTTTGCAAGCAACAATATAAATTGTGCGTTTCAGTAATGTACAATATTTTATTACCTTCCTATTTTGCTTTGTCGCCATGATAAAGAAAAATCTGATAAAGAATCACGGTCACAAACATTGAAGAAAACAAACAATGATTTATTAAGTTTTATTGATGACTAACTGATAATTTCTTTTTAGAGTTCCTCGGTAACAGTGGTTTGCGCCCTACTTGCGCGTACCTAGCCTCACTTGAGAGACTATTATTAGTACTTTCAGGTGCAGGTTAATTGCAAGATTGTTTTATATTCTCCCTAATTGTTCGCATTATATTACGCTCTATAAAATATGTGATAACTACTCAAATGAAAATCAATTCGAAGACCTTATTCTTTACTTATGCACTGAGGATTGTAATTAATGAAACAAATTATGAATTTTGGGCCTGGACCATACATTTGTGCTTACCCACAGAGTTGCGAGTGCAAATGCAATCGACTGCACAGTTGGTGCGGTAGCTGGGCAACTGGCTGCCGTGCCACATGGCGCGAGTTCAATTCCCGAACGGAACAACTCTTTGTGTGATCCACAAATTGTTGTTCCGGGTCTGTGTGTCATGTGTATGTTTGTAACCGCACCCACGACACAGGAGAAAATCCTAGTGTGGGGCAATGTTTTTTTTAAAAAGAAAAAGAAAAGAATCTGGCTCTGTTCGTCTCACTAAGGGTGGGCGACGTCAACAAAGCTAAGGCTGTGCTTTAATTATTTGTTATATTTTATTGACGGAACCTATAACGTTCACAAGGTACTGTTTCTATTTTAGTACATTTGTTTTTGTTTTTAGGTTATTTCATCAATCAGGCATTTCGTGAGTCATCATGGAGTTAAAGATATTGCTTACCTATAAGATCAGACAAGATAAACAGATAGGTATCAAAACTAGGTTCCTAAACAAACAACTTTACTGATATGGATTCTTGGATCCCTTTGCCTTGTATCTAAGAAAAACAAAATTTATGTGTATCCCGTCTTAAAATAACAACAACCAACAGGATTTTCGTGCTCTATAATATTAAACCTTGTTATGTTATTGTTATGTTTTCAATACTCAAGCAAAATTTATCTAGTTACGTTCGCATACTTGTATGAATAACAATAGGGATAGTAAGAAAATCAATATGGTGCGCCGAGAAACATCAACACAAGTTGTCCTTGAAAATTATTTCAGAGCAATTTCGCATGAAATGGTCGAAGAAATTGTACCCATATAAAGTCAAGAGGTTAACAGTTTTATATTATACAAGAGGCCCGCCCCTGCTTCGCATGGGTCTCCACCTAAGTATCTTGCTAACGTCGAAAGGTTACCCATTTCCCAGTTTTCAAAAATTGTGTTTCATAAGAACCTTCTCCTGACAATAACAAATACAACAACAAAAAGAATTGGCAAAATTTTTTCAGGCATTGTTGAGTTATGCGTCAACACATTTTGCGATTCATTTGTACAGATGTATAGGTTTGTACAATTTTTTTGAGATATTAGTTTGGGGCCGCCTTGTATAGAATGGATACCACGGCCTCACAGGAAAGCCGCGTAAAACCACGTTAACGTGGGTAAGATTACCGGAGGATCAAGCCTCCCCTTCTCCCCATTTTCTTCCCCCAAATCCTCAATACTCAAATCCCTGAGCCCCGGAAGGCATCACACTCATAAGTCCTTTGGTGTTGCATGTGTTTATGTGCGGTGAGTACTATCAGATGATCTGTCTGATCGTTCGATATCTTATCATACCTTTAATAAGATTGGGAGTGACAGACTCGAGTGATGTTTTCAGAAATTAAGTGGAACTGAGGTGTAAACGAGAACTACCTGTCTTTTCGCACGGGCCACTAAAGGACACTAAAGGAAGGTATTTGGAAACGACTAGATGTAATCTTTGATAAACTTAAACCTTTTAATTAAGACATTATAGCAGATCTTATGTAGAAGAGACCAACAGCCTAGCTGTGATCATGAAAAGACAACTGTGATACTTACACATGAAAACACACCACGTCATAGTGGCAGCAATAAGGCCCGAAGTAGCCAGGATGTAGGACGCACAGCTCAGCATCCCCACCATCTCGTCGGACAGTCGCAACCGACGTTTTAGAATTGACAGAATTAACAATGTTCCTGAAAAAGACAACCAGTTATACCACAGGTTTTATTGTTTGAAATGTTTCCCCTGCATGTTATCCTTCCAATATGTCTGAACTGAACTAATCTGAACTGAGCCGTTTTCTAACATATTTCAAAAGTAATTGCCTGCACTATGATTTTCTCCTGTTTCGTGTTTTAACAAATATACAAAGATTTTTCTTTATGACTATGCAAAATGTTGCGCAGTAGTAGGTGGTGCAGTTAAATTATCCGTCTGTTGATTAACAAACACTCAATCAAGGGTATTCAATTACGTTACATACAATTTAGCTATTAATACTATTTTTGATATAGGTGCTGTAAAGCAAAAATCAAAGTCTTCATAAAGGACTGATTTTGTTGACGATGAATGTACTGTCCAATAATAATTTCTTATATTATATAGGTACGTTTCAAATTATGCTTAAATTACAATTTTATTATCATTTTCGTCACATCGTTAAATGTTAAACTGAACATTTTATGCTGATAGTATCCACCAACTAAGCGTGAATGATGTCACGTCCGGCTTGGTTGGTAGGCACAAGCGCAATAACAGCAGAAAGAACGAATTGGTTTCTAGTCAGTAAAAGTGTGACTCGTCCCACACGTGGCAGGATAAGTCATTAGTTCATTTCCTCCTTACGGAAAGGTAGAAGGTTACTTACTTACATGGGATGAGACAGTCCAAAAGTGGACCAGTCGTGGATGTGGCAACACAGTCTATTTATGACTTTTTGTGGATCAAATGACTTCTTTTGCCTAGGGTAATGCAATAGGGAGTACCAGACTTTTTCGGAATATAGGACCCCTGTTCCTTCTCACACACTCACTCTCTCACTCCTGCTGCAGGCAAAGGTCGCGGTACCTTATTACGCTTGCCCCGCAACCCTGGCATCGGCCTAGTTTGGCTCCATAGTTTATTGGATCTTTGAGGCACATATTGACTTATTAGAGTGGTTTAGTAAATAATACTTACCTATAAAACTAACTATATTCTTGTATGCGAGGTAGGATCCAAACATGACGTCAGTCCAGTGGAACTTATACCGGTAGTACATGTAGGCGATTAACACCTCCGCTGTAATTGAATAAATAACTTCTTAATCATTGAATGTAAATAGACTACTTTGTAACATATATAAAACATATTTCTTAATCTTCTATTATTTCTAACCACCAGTACTTACACTAGATGTTTTGTGTCACTCGACGAGTTATGTATAGAGTCGAGGCTATTGTTTTAAAGCATTCCTCTCTACTTTAGATTTCTCACTACTTATTCAACTAACGGTATTAAATAAAAAAGCTCAATATTAATTTACAGCAAGTTTTTCTGAGACTAAAACTTGTTTCGAAAACATCTTTATAATAACGCCATCTATTGTAATAATTCAGAACGAAGGTCTGTAATGCAGCAAGAAAGCGTAGCGGCACTTTTATTTCAAAATGGATAGATAAGAGGAGCTCGCTGCTATAACGATAGTAACGCGCCATCTAGTATCGGTTTCTACCTACCGTGATTGCTATTTTCGTTCGTGCAAATAATTTTCATAGCAGGGAATTTGGACAGGACGACCAATGTATCCATCACTTCCTTTTCAATGTGGGGACTCAAAAGCATAACGAATGAAACGTAGGTAGTAAAAAAGGAGTCCTGCTAAGGTCTTTTTCATATATTTTTTTTTCAGTGTCATAATATGGGTATTAGAGAAGCATAATCTTTGAAGGCAGAAAACCAACAATGTTTTTGTAGCTTTTCTGATGTTTTATGCCGTTGCAGGATACTTTATTTATTTGCTTAAGTTATCCCACAATGAATTACTAACCAGATAATAACATCCTGTCTCCAAGCGTGACGACCAGCATGAGAAATATGATGGTCCTCTTGCGACCTTCCCTGGGCTTCACCAGACAGTAAACTGCGTTAAACGGTAGCTTCCAATTGCAGACAGATACTTTATTATCCCTGTTCACGTTGACATCCTTCACTGCTACAATCACGTATATTAGGGATGATACCTGAAATGTTATTGAAGACAATTAATTTTCGTATTTATATGATTATAACTTATATCATCAGTGATCGTCAATGGAAATGCTGGAGTACCAATATTGTAAAACCTTTAACACTATGATATCATTGAACTTTTACTATTCAAAAATGTTTTATTACGTACGATAAAAATATATTTTTTTAGTTACGAAAGAATGTATGATCATTTCGTTAGTCACGCTGTAAAATCAAACAGAGACAGCTTATAAAACTATATTACTATTTTAAATAACGATTTTTCGATTATTTCTGGAAACTTATTGTTTTCGAAAATAAATTGCAAAGTATGCCGGCTATAAATAACTATCTCTGAAAGGCATGATTCGTTAACTTCATAAGTCCATTATTAAGTACGGTACCTTTAAATAAATTTTCGAGTTAGGCACATGATCTATGTCGGTGTATTTCATAAAAGGCATCCATTTTGTACTTTTTAAAGCAATGTGCGAAACTAGGATAAAAGTTTTTAATATTTTAATAAATTTCGTTGTTTTATTGTAGGTACCTAATTGCTTCTGATAGGGACAACTTATAAACTAAAACACGTTATAAAGGTGGATAATAATCCACCTTAGAAATTCGGGCTCAGTGTTTTTACAGGTAGGTTTAGGGGCTGAAATATTGAAAACTTTCCTCTAAAAAACTGCAATATGTAATAGCTAGGGGATGTTTTCGCCCACGGTATCGACCCGGCACTTTGGTTTGCGGTGGTAGTCGCGAATTCCTGCATACATAGCTTCGTCGGCTTGCCTTTTCATTCCCATTATTGCTTTTTTAGCTTTTTTCTTCTGCAAAGCCAGTCTTTACAGTTCAAACAATATTTGTAAAAAGTTTGTTTGATTTTAGTTTTAAGACGTGTCGCTAGTATTTTAAGTCTATGGAATTTGGAAAACTCTTATGTATATATTTGCTTACATATTGCTTATATATTTGTTAAGAAAGGTACAAAATGAGTATATGCAGTTTTATACTACGTGGACATAGTATTGTTTGCTACGTCGATAAACTATTGTGTTCTATTTATTTCAGAATAGAAATGAGAAAAATTTATTGGTTTTGGAGAAGTGGACATTAAACTAAATTCTATTAACCTTTTGTAGGTTGTAAATCATCTGTGATATATTACATAATTAAGGGGCCTAAGAATGTAGTTTAAAATTTCCGAGATTTGTTATTGTCATGGTAGGTACATATATTAGTCAAGAATTAAGAGGTGTTAAACTTATATATTGTTGTATATACCTGTAGAAATAAAACAAGTGGAAACACACCGAAGAATCCGAACGTGCGGTAGAGAAGGGGCCCTCCCACTGCGCCCAATACATGGGCTATCTGTACAGCAGCTCGATGAGTTCCCATAGTCCGTGTGACGTCACGACCCGTTGCGAAGCATAACTGCAAAAATCGAGAACGCTTTTTATAAGGATTCATTGGTTCATTATGGAGGTAATTTTCGAGGCTTCCTCGTCAGTAGGTATTGCGAAAAATGTATGGTGATTTTTAAGGGGTGTGTCAATCATAGGGCACTTTTAAGGGAACTCCAAGTATTTATAGAGAACAAAGTTCTAAGTTTACAGTTCCTATATGTAGGTACCAACATTTGCCTACCTTGAAATCCAAAACTGACTTCAATAAAATATCTACTTTATATGAAACAGTATTACAAATTTAAAACAAAATAAAATCCAATATTTATTAAGGTAGTAGCATCTTTTTAACCTAACCTATAACATGTGAGCTCCATAAACGTATAAATTCTACTTTCCTATGGAAACTGCCGCGCTGGGGCAAACGAGGGCAAATCCGAGCGATACCTAAACAGTAGAATATAATATGACCTAGTTTCGTTTCTAGTATTGGAAACACGCTTTCAGGCATTCCCATGTCATATAAAATGGACCAAGCTGCGATTTATCTTCGTTTAGTTAATTAAGTAATACCTACATAACAATTTGTGATAGATACCAAATTTGAATCAAAGTTGTATTGTTATGAATGTCTAACTCAGAATACAGATTGTTCTGTATTCTGAGATGTCTAATATGAATAGTGAAATTATTTATTTTGATATTTGAGTTTTTGTGTTGAGTGCTCCTACTAACGATTCGAACTTTTTGAACGAAATTTTGATTTAACGACGGACGGAAACTAAAGGAAAAATAATACTAATAATAATACTAAATTAAAGGAAAAATCACAGAACCGATCGTGGTAAACCGGAGGCTAAGCGCTCACTTCAAATGCATGATGAAACAGTTTGAAATCTGGCAGGTACCTTGTGTGTCTTTTCTGTTTTCCGAGGACTAAAGCCGAGTACTTTCTAATTACATACATTTAGACATACAGATACAAAGGTTATCGTGAAGCCACCTTTTTTGTTAGGCGAAAATCATCAAATGACTCTCCCGCCCAGGGTAAGGCGAGAGAGAGAGTGTCAGACTTACTGACTATAAACCACTTCGCGCGGTAAGTGGGGAAGTGTAACCGAATGTCTGCAAATATACTAGAGTGGGGTCTCAGATGAAAGCGCACTGAAAGGGAATGTTGATGACTTAATCGAGAGAAAATGATATAAAACACCTATACAAAGTATAAAATAAAAAATAGATTAGACCCCCGACCAAAGGAATATTAGATTTTTGTCGGGGGTCTTTAACATTTTGAATTTTATCATTGAGGCGCGCGCATCGTGAAGGCATAAGCAAATGCGGTGGTTAATGCCCAAACCTCCTCCGTGTGAGCGTCTCCTTTACTCAGCTTTGGACACTTCTATTTTGATGATGATGAGATCTTCTTTTAAATTAGATTAGAAGTTATTTTTTAACATTTAGATAATTGTGTCATTACAAAATTAAAACAGTTTTATAGCAATAAACTATAAACAAAGTACTCTTAAAATATTATAGTGTATATTTTAAAGTATATAAATCAACTCTGCTTACTTATACAGGAATTCATTGTTATGATTTCAGAATTATTTAAACAACAAACGCATTGCATGTTAATGTTTTACTATAGAACATGTATGAAAACTTGACTGAATGTCATTATGATCGTTCGTTTATAAACGATATACAATGACGCTTTATCTTATTTACATTAGTCTAAATGTAATCGGAATCTTACAACAAACAGTCACCGAACGCTCTTCACTTTTGACTGGTATTTACTTCGAATGTAGGTAAGATTGAATCGACGCAAACTACATTGCATGAAAAATCTATGCAGTAAATGTGGTCTTTAATGTGGAATAAATATAGGCTATTTTTCGAAAGATAACGTTAGCAAAGCCGCTGACAGACATAAAATGAGATGAGAGCTAAATGATTTTTTTACCTAGTCACCATGAAATAACTAAAAATAAATTTAAAAACATGATTCCAATACTCTATATTCAAGGTGAGATATTTGAAATCTTACTTGAAATTTAACAGACAAGATAACAACTTTGCTTAGAGTTTCTGTATGGACCTAACATACATTTAAATGCCAGACTGGTAGCTCCAATTTAATATACACTATTCGGAAATCAAGGACCAAATACTGCTTTAATTTATCTCAGGATATATTCAGGATAACTACATCTTTATTTATACAAAGCCAAAGAAAACTTGTACATGGATCTGTCGAAGTCTAATAAAGTCAAGAGGTTCATATGCATACTTACATCACCAATATGACTGAAAGCGGCTGCTAGTAGTAATCCAAAATTTCCTCCTAATGATATAGGCAGTTGCACAGCATACAAGACTTGTACTGTGGATGCTCCTGGGAATATCAGCATCAGTATCACACCAGTAGTCATCACACTCATACCAATCAATGGTAGAATGAGCAATGGTTTCCGACGCCCACTGCAGTCACTCCACGGACCAACAAACAGTAGGATTATTGTAGATATAAGAGATCCAATAAAACTTCTACTGACGTTCACTCCAGATACTACTACTTGACTCTCCGCCTGAAATTTAAAGAAAAATAAACGTTTCAGTAATGTTTTTGCATTTTCTAATCTTAGTCTAGACTACGTAATATAGTTTGGTACGTTTCAATATGGCCAAATGTAAACATAACCCGAGGGTATGAGGACGGCGAGTGAGGGTAGCTCGCCGCCCGACCAGAACCAGGCCCGAACGTACGGCGCGTAGCGTTCCGCGAGCGCCTTAAAGAACCAATAGACCACCACAGACGGGGCCCTATAGAGCTGATGTTCAGCCGGGGTCGGGGGTTAGAGACAGAGTCAGACTCTGTCTCTCGCCTTGCCCTGGGCGGGAGAAGTCATTTGATGATTTTCCCCTGACAAAAAAACCCCATACTACACATAATATTTCTTTTATTTTACAAATTATGTAGTTTTGTTTTTACTTTTGTTTCATTTATTACTCGGGACACTGTACATATACGACCAAATTCTTTTTATCCGAGAAAAAATAATTTTAATAAGATATTTTTTGTTTTGATAAAAATACATTATATATGTTTTATTACTCATATTTACTTTACTTATTTATTTATGCTTAATTTATACTCAAAATATATTTTTATAAAACAATTGATTAATTGAAAGCCATTACGAAATTACTTAAAAAGGCAAAATGGAGAAAATGCATTAATGTGTTCTCGGGTAACGATTTCAGCGAAGTCATTAATTTAATGAAACAAACACATAATGGCTGCTACTTAAGTAAGTAGATGACAAGAAGTAGATAATATTAACGTAATCGTAAATACACAGTAAGCGTTATGATAATTAATGTATTTTTAGGCTTAACATCTCTGTGTACTTGTGTAAAAGTTTATGTGTGTGTCTGTTTGTGTGTATGTCTATTTGTTTGTCCGTCTTTCACGGTAAATTGGAGTTTGTCGAAAAGATGGAGAGTGATACAGAATGAGAGTGTATGACTACGTACACACAATGGTCACAAGTGCATTCTCGGTAATGACCGAGAATGCACTTGTGACCATTTTTAAATGAATCATTTTTTAAATGATGATGTAATAAAAAAACCAATATTTTTTAATGAAAATATGTATTTGTCATACAGAGATTAGATTTCTGAGGATTTTCCCAAAGCATAAAAATGAAAAAGGGTCTCGTGAGATCAAAATAAATTTTGCATCATAAATTCGTGTATAGTGGTTATTTTATATTATCATAACATACAAATAACAAATTCTTTTATGTAGACTAAGTAAGTTTTTCAAATGGAATTGAACATTACCCTAGTCTATTCAATGTAGCTTTTTAGCCTGAACCACAGGTTCAGGGCCTAGTAAATGTTTTGTTTATGCGAATAACACTTATAGTATGATCTACTTTATTTAAATTCATCGTATTTTTTCATGTATTATTTAACTGTTGATTTTTTTTTATTATAACTTTCGTTAGACATTCTAAATTAATTATTATGTTTTCGGCTTACTCACGTAATAATTTGACGAGATGCTCGACTAGTTTCAAGCCACGCTAGAGGCCCATATTCATGAGCAGCTTATATACAGTAGCAGCGCGACAGTCACCGCGTCGCGTGTCGCGGAATACAATTATAATTGACTTTTAATTATCAAAAATTTAAGTTTCAGTCGTAACATCAGCTCAATGGAGTATGTCTTAAGGTTGAAAGTCGGTATACAAATGAAATGTTTAACCCTTTTTTATGAGAAAAAAGAAGTCATATTATATACACATAGTTATTTGACTTCTTTTGCCCAAATTGAAGCGAGAGGGAGCGTCAGACTCTTACTGGCTAAAACTCCCCTGGGAGAAGGAACACCTTCTTCTGCTCTAGGCTGAGGTCTAGGCCGGCTCTAGGCTGAGGTACCTTACTGCGCTTACCCCGCAACCCCGGCTAAACTGTTTAAGATTAGTTTCTTAGATTTATATGACTACAGAATGTCAAATGTTATTCAAAATGTAAAAGATGTGACTTAAATTACTTGAAATATGTATTAACACTACGTTGACTCCCAATTTGACGTCCGATACTGTTACGCGCCATGTATCTCATCTCTCTAGGTAAACATAGGATTAACTGGCCAGGTTAAAGGTCACACAGATACTACCGCAAATGAGAGCTGCACCTTGTAGTGATAATTAACTGATAATAATTATATTAAACTGGTACATTGTGAACGTTGACCTTTAAATATTTGCCCTTTAGTAATCTATTTAGGAAACTGTATTACTTACTTTATCGTGTTAAATAAAAAATATAATTCTAATTGTAATTCTTGTTCATATTAAAAGCATCCTGACGTCATTTGTTTTATTCGTATCCCACCAAAATGTATTCTTTAAATTCATCAAATCTCACACGAACGCCGGCCGGACTTTACTTACGACCTTATTGTTCTTTTATTGTGATTCTAATTACCACGACGGAAAGGTTAACCGTATAAAACATCAATTACAATATTATCATTCTCAGTAGTAGGTATTTTATGTAGATGAAAACTGAGCTCTCTATTGTAAGTAAAATATAATTTTTGTAATGCTTTTATTTCCATTAGGTAAATGGTAGGTTGAAGAAGGTACTTTTAAAGTCCAAGCCCATTTCTTCAAGGACACAATACGCATTACATCCATTTTTCAAGTCTGCACAGCGCAATGATCAATGCCAAAGTATATAAATCTATCAACTACAGTAGATATATCAGTAGTTCCTTACAGATGTATCTTATTGACATTTGTCAAAATACGAGATAGGCTTAGTTTATCTAAGGTCTGATAAAATTCACGGTCGCGTCAATAAATGGTGCCCTAGTCTTTAATATCAAACTGTTATCAGATACGAAGTGTAGTGTAGATTAACTTATAATTATAGAAACGTTTTGGTCAATAAGTCTATAATGGACATATTGGATGTTTTAGTTAGCTTTGGTCTATTATTCCAGCAGCTAAGGAGTGGGAGAGCCATGCTTCGGTACAAATGGGTCGGCTCGACCAGAGTGATACCAAGGCTTCACAGTAAACCGGCGTGAAAAAACCACAGCGTTGTGTTTCGCCGTGTGAGTGAGGTTATCTGAGGCCCAATCCTTTCCCTCCCCGAATCCCTCCTCAATCCCGAAATCTCCACATCCCTAATCCCTAAAAGTTCGGCAACGCACTCGTTCTTCTCCGTTGCGGGTGTCCATGGACGGCGCTTATTGCTTACCATCAGGTAATCAGTCTGCTCGTTTGCCGGCCTATTACATAAAAAAAGCTATCTGAGTCTTGTGGGTCAAGAGTAATAATGTTCTCTGCTCCAGTCAAAATAGGAGAAGGAACCGAGTGGATTTTAGTCAGTAAGAGTCTGACGATAGCTCTCACTTCGCCCAGGGTGAGGGAAATTATTTATAGATTACACCCTTCAAAAATATATACCAGCAGCTATACCTACAACAAAGCTAATAAGAAACGTAGTTAAACGTCCAATGTTAAATTTTTCTCAACTTATCTTTAAGTGTTATGCAATAAGGGGTTAGTTATCGACAAAAAGATATGCATTAGACATGCTACTCATTGATAAAAAGCCAGTACAGAATATCATAAAAATATACAATACCTACATAGATGCATGTAAAAGAGAATAATAACATTCGCATTGACAAAACTGTAAAGAAAAGTAGATAGGTATAGTTTACCTCCATATCTCCTTTTAAACACACTTCTAAATCCACCCCTAGGTCGACTGTACAGGCTGTTTGCAAATAGAAGTTCTGTAGCGAGGTTTGACCTAGATTGATTGCAATCATGGCGCCCACGAGCGCTGGCTCGAGTATCAGCCGGTACTTCTGTGGATTATCGGTCTCCTGACTCGGTGAAGTCTTCGTTTCTTTAATCTCTTCATTCTCTGGTAATGGCTCTCTGTACGATGGACGTCTGTATAAAGAGAAACGACTTAATCACCTTCGTTGAATACTAAACAACATTTGCAACACTTTCTATTAGTCCTACTTATACCTTGTGTGATATTAATTAGGTTACGTATCATACATATTAATGTCGTAACTGCTGTTGATAGATACACAGTAACGACTGTATTTTGCCAGTAAAACAATGAAAACCTTTATAAGTGATATCAGTAGACAGTTGAATGACTAGTTTATCGTAAAGGCTATTTCGACCACGTTTTCTCGTTGAAATAACTATAAAAAATTACTTTACCAGTGTTAACTGCCATGAATCATGTAACTTGTAACATATTTTATAACAAAATTATACAGAACACAACAGAAACACTACTTAAAATAAATAAAAGATAAACGACAAATAAAATAAAAGGGAAACCTTAATTTCTCCAATTCACTTTGGATATCGACGGTGCCTTCATTCATTGTTACTAAACAATATCTTCAGTACGATCTAAACAAAAAATCACAGAGTATAATCACACACACAGATGAGAGCTCACATCACAGTTTTAGGAAACAGTCACAGACGCGTGTACTCGCCGTACAACTTCTACTAATATGAGCCGATAAGATAGCAGTCTGTTTGCAAATTCGAAACAAAGTGCTTAGTCAAACAGAGAGATAACTTTCTGAACTGGATGCGATGCATTATTGTAAATACACAATGAGCGTGGAACTCTGAGGGTACCGACCGGCGCGGCTGCCCGGTGGGCTTCGTTTCAGACCAAATTGATTCGATTACAGCAATTGCCCGACGCACTGGCTGATACCAATAGGGTTACGATAACGCTAAAACTATGTTGTAACAGATACAGGTTGCTTACAATATTTCGCTGCAGTACTATCACACTGTGTCCTCACGTTAGAAATTTTTATTTTCATTTTCATCATTATTCACATGGTATTTCTTTCATTATGAAAAATAAAAGATAGTTGTATCACTAAAAAGCAAAATCTTTTGTTGATAAAAAAGTGATAATGGACGAAATGCCCTATTTTTATCGAACCTAGGCCAATATTTTAGACTGTTGTATTTGTATTTTTGGTCTTTAATTATTTCTCTCAATTTATCAGATGGTTGCATATCTATCATATTTAATGATTTAATGACCTTTGTACAGGACTGATTACCTTTTTTGTAAAATTTAGTCCAAGGTCCGGACAAACCAAAAACGCCGACCACGTGCACAGCCATGTCGTATGAAGTCATTTTATATCGGCACACGGTGCGATGAATCGCAAATATATATTTATAATCTTTCGTATCTTTCCTTATGTCATTAAACTCGTGTTCTACGTGATAGAGTACACATACACAATTTTATTAATTAAGCGAACAAACATAGGAGCCCCGTGCATAATAATTAACTATAGATACTATTTTCTTCTTCACTGCAGGTTCAGATAACAATCTTAGAGTTTTATAGAAGGATATAAATGGTGCATTCATGTTGAAATTTTATCATCTAAGCACGTCGGTATCTTCCGAATATACATAAGTGAATTGTTACAATTACCCAATGGCCTCAAACAGAAATACCGTGTCACAAGATTTCATGCTTCGATTGTTGAAAAAAACAACAGGACCGGCAATTAATAATTTACGAGACAGCGCTCTTGTTACCAGTCAATGAACGGCATTGTGTATTGCTCATCAGTATTAAACTGAGCTGCTACACCTTTGCAATATTTTTCACGGCCAAAGTGCGCTGCCAGCTTTAAAATAAAACAGTTGAGAATCTCGCTCGGTGGTCGGCACGCGTTCTTGTGGTAGTTACGCGATCATTGCGTGAACAATTACTACTATTATAGAGCGGAGGTCAATTCCGCTAGGTGCTCGAAATCGTAAGCAAACGCATAGATCAACTACTGAATCAGCCGTTTGTGTTTCCCATTGCTAGTGGCATGAATCCAAGTGTTCCCGATTTATAGTGTGCTAATATCAACATCGCTTAAAAGAATTTAATATCTACGAATCTGTGAATCAAATTCCAGAATATAAATTTTGCTTGTAGATATTTTATTTACTAACTTTAATACGCTAGCTCCAATACGTGAACATTTAATGCCTAAAATTGAAAGATTATTTAGTCGATTATTACGAATGATTCCGATAACCTACTTATTCTTGCGATTATTAACATTCAGTAGACTGGATTAGATCTGAAACTAAATTACGTACAATGCCTTTTGTTTGAATAAATAGATTAATTACTTCCTAATTATTATTTTTGCTAACGTTGGTTGGATACATTTAAATGCCAACATAAAATGTTGGTGCAGGTAAATAATGCACTACTTAGGAATGTATGTAGGTACCAAGTCTATTGAATTAACGAATTCTAGTTGATGTTAATTAAATGCTATCTGTTTCGGCTAAACAAGTTTGGAATCACCTACGTTTCAGGCGGAAGCGAATGTTCGAGGGAAACTCACTTTTAACTGAATGTTCTTACGAAACATTTTTGTTTGAAAGTGTAATAATTTTAAAGTCTTACAAAACGTCCTTAATCAGTCAGTTGGTTGTTGGGAATGTTCGTTGTTGTGCACTGTATATCAGTATTTTGTTTAAAAAAGTGGACTCAGAGACAAAGCAACTGGATGTGTGAATCTGTGAATTAGTGACAAAAAGTGAATAGAAAAAGTATTGTGAAAATTTTGAAGACAAAAAGTGAATTTAATGAATTGTTATTTTCATTCCTACATGAATCGGCAATTTTCATCTTGGTTGGATGAGTATGCACTTTTTTATATTTGTTACATTTTAACAAAGGAAAATATCGGCAAACCGCACATTATGGAGATACGTACAGTTAGTTTTTATTTTTCTTTTCTATAAAATATGTATTTGAGAATTTCTAAATCGACAGCAATATTTACTTCCACAAATTCCTACGCCACTACTAGTAGTTTAAATAATAAATGACCAAGGACAATTATCTTTTATCAAAATTATATTTATTCAAGAAGCGTCAAGCATGCCTACTGTGTATATTAACAACATTTTGTTTGTAATCTAATCAACGAACGAATGTAATCGAACCAGTAAAAGTTGTTGAGAATCCAAGTTCTAAGAATAACCTTTGAAAAAACAAAATGTTTTTTTGATAAAGTAGGTCGATTCTAGTACGTAAGTATCGGAAAATAACTATTCGATTAGATATTGTTTTAGGAACATAGGTAGACTAGCTTTAGACGTCTAGAGCATGATACTTATCTATACTATATTTTTATATTATAAAGCTAAAGAGTTTGTTTGTTTCTTTGAGTGTAGAAATCTCAGAAACTACTGGTTCGAATTGAATAATCTTTTTGTGTTTGATAGGGATATTTATTGAGGAAAGCTTTAGGTTAGGCTATAAAACACCACGCTACAATTTGAAGGAGCCGAACAGCGAGTGAAACCGCGCGAGATTAGCTAGTAATATATAATATGAATGAGAAAATGTCTTGGTCGTTCGTTTTTCTTTTACATCGCAAAGAGTTTTTCTATCGTAATTTAGTCTGCATAGGTACTTGTATGTTAGGTTACCTAGCATAAACTGAATATAAACGATTTTTGCTTCTTCTTCCTCTTATTCTAATTTTAATAGAAGATAAACCCACCCGCTTTTTATGTGCAAGCGGTAACTGAAGGCGGGGTTGATGGTGCAATTGCATTTATGTACCACGGTCCAGGCTCGAAACACGAGAAGGAACGGCGAAGATTTTAGTCAGTAAGAGTCTGACAGTCCCTCTTGCATCACTCGACGCGGAGAAGTCATTTGATGATTTACCACCCTCAAGTAAAGAGTGTAAATTATGGAGTATTATTAGACTGTGAGTTTCAATTTCTAGGTTGAGAGAAAGCATTCGAATTTTAAAATTTTCTTATTTATCTGAAGTTTATAAATGTATCTAGAGCACTAGGCAATATGCTTGCTATCACTACATGCCTTTAAATATTTAAAGTGAAAAAGGTTTCATTTTAAGACATTTAATTGAACTATCAAGTATGGGAGAGCCATGCTTCGGCACGAATGGCTCGGCTCGACCGGAGTGATACCACGGCCTCACAGAAAACCGGCGTGAAATAACCACTGCGTTGTGTTTCGCCGTGTGAGTGAGGTTACCGGAGGCCCAATCCTTCCCCTTCCCCAATCCCTCCTCAATCCCTAAATCTCCAAATCCCTAATCCCTAAAAGGTCGGCAACGCACTCGTAACTCCTCCGTTGCGAGTTTCCATGGGCGGCGCTGATTGCTTCCCATCAGGTAATCCGTCTGCTCGTTTGCCGCCCTATTACATAAAAAAAAAATTGAAAAAGGTTTCATTTTAAGACATTGAATTGAACTCTTATGTATCAGTAGGTATTTGATGTTAACGTAAATAGTTACAAAATTGATTGACAGTATTGGCAAGAGAGATCGGAGCCTGGAACATGATTCGGGTGGAATTATGTAGTATTATGTGTCAAACCGTCGTCAATCTCTGTCATGACAGCTGTGACAAAAAATACCAACATGTTTTGTAAAGGCGTAAAAGATATATTTACGTATTAATGTGTAGAATTATCCATAGTTGAGTGATATACTTCCTTTTTAACTACAAGTCATTAAAGTCGATTTTTACAATGCCCAATAAAGCCACCACTATGTACCATACAATTTTGAAAATAGAATAGAAAATTTAAATATCAGATAATAAATAAGAACTTTATTACATTCTATATTCAAAATTAAGTTCATGAGTTTTTCAGTCAACTCATTTTTCATCTAAAAATCACCCCGTGTCGTCTCGTACATTATTATGTTTACACTCGAAACCCCGGATAGCATTAAGGAATAATTTAAGCAATCATTAAATATATCTGGCATTCTTTTTTTGTATATCTAGCTAAAACATGTCCAATCTGAGGTTTATTTCATTTATATTATGACAAACAGTTATAATTATCCATGTTTTTTATCCTTACTTGTAATTGTTATGTATGTTAACAGCTTGTTTAATTAAAATCTTACATCAGTAAGAAATTCTAGTAATCGTATTTATACAGTCACATATTATACATCATTTAATTGAATCATCATTAACACGAGCAAATCAACATGGCTATATCAAACGATAAATAAAGAAAGTGCTGGCTTGATGAAGTGGATTGACTGAGGTCATAGTTGCAAAAATCATCATCAATATGAAAATATTTTTTCATTTCGTTTTGGTAGATACAAATTGATAAAAATTCAGAAGTCCTATCTGTTCGATGAAATCAACAAATTATGAGTCGTAAGTAACAATGCATGACGTCAAAGTATATTTTATACTAAGCGATGATGTAGGACAAAAATTTCTTCTACATTTACATAGGAATTTACTTAAAATAAAGCTTAAGTACTGCTACATTATGTAGATAATAACGTGAATATTTTTTGTGAAGGAAAAATCATCATAAGCCAGCTCCAGCCCAGGGTGGGGCGGGAAGGAGTGTCAGACTCTTACTGACTAAATAAAAACCCCCCGTTCCTTCTCCTGCTTTGGACCGAGGTGCCTAATTGCGCTTAATCCGCAACCCCGGCTGAACATCAGCCCCATAGGGCCCCGTCTGTCGTGGTCTATTGGCTCTTTGAGGCGCGCACGGAACGCAACACGCCGTACGCTCGGGTCTGGTTCTGGTCGGGCGGCGAGCTACCCTTACTCGCCATCCGCAGACCCGCGCTTAAACGGTGTGAGAGTCTATATATTGGACTATCATTCATTATTTTTCAAAAAAGGTTTTATTTATAGTGGTAAGCAATCTATATAAGTGGCTGGTACTGTCTAAGATTAACTAAAAATTAAAAAAACATTTTAAAAAGGAGTTTAGTTTCACTGATATCTATTGTGCGAGTCATTTTTAGTCAGTAAGAGTTTGAAACTCTCTCTCGCGTCACCCAGGGCGGGAGAAGTCATTTGATGATTTTGTCCCTTTAAAAAATAGACTTGTACAATACACTTCCTACGCTAAGACATTTCCTCCTTTCTGTTTAGAAACTATACTTACTTCATTTTATTTAATACTTGACTAGTCAGTCAGTCTCCGACTAGGTTTAGATCCCTTGAGCCAACTGTTTAGAGTCTCAATCTCATCGGACGTTGATTGTACTTCATTGAATGCCGATGAATTCCTTATGTGGAAGCCAGCTAACCTTGGAGGAGCCTTTGACGTTCAATTGTGACGCTCATCCATTACACGTCTCATGCCTCAAAATAGTTGAGAACCAAGCATTGTTTGTCGGCTCCAAAAAGGTTCTTTGTATTTTAGATTTAGTTTCAGACCCAAAATTAAGCAAAAGCGCTAGATTATTAATCATTCTCCTTGTTAAAGATTTACTTTGGTAAGGACTACATTTTGTGAATCATTTAAGTTAGCTCCATGGTCTGAGACAGTGAAAGAAAATGGCTAAATTTGTCCGGTCTTCATTTTTGTCGTTATGGTTTAAAATGCCTTCTCAATGTTTTTGTATCAACTAAACTATACTCCAATGACTAAATGAATGTAGGTGTAGCCTATCAATTATAAATATTTAAATATTCAAATGAAGTCGATGTTATAACTTCAATTTTTTATACACGTTTTTTTTAAGTCTAGCGTCTTTACTTCTACCTTTTTATAAAAAAAAGTATCACATTCTTAATTCAACATTTATTATTGGATGATAACCGAAAGTGAAATTAAATAGGTAACAGCTATAAAGGTGCTTATTTTTAGTCATCACCCGCTTATTTCTGTAGCCAAACTACACAACCATATTATAGCTAGCTCTTCAATGGTGTGACGTCATAGTATTGATCGTCCAGCCAGCCAGTACCTGTTACTGTCAATGCGCCATGGGCATACGTCATCAGTCTATAGCAACACCGAAAAATATAGAACATACATATATTTTTTTTTTAAATACTAAAAATATTTATAAAAATTTTAAATAGTTCTTACATTTCATTTAGTATTTTTCAAGTTTTCGTTCTGGCAACACGCCTAATACGTAATATCTATTTAGTGATTACCCCTAGGGGTGCCATAGCGCATGCGTAGAGAATATGGCGAAGCGGCGACGACCTCTCTGCAGGGCGGTAGTTGCCGTTCCATGCAGGCACGAACTGAGCTATCCCGTGCAAAAATATTTTATTTAGTTCTGTTAATCTTATATATTGTTTATACGTGATAAATCAATAAATAACAACTATTTTGTTTGTGATTCTACAAAATTAATTTCATAATTTTTTGAAACCCTTTTTTGTTTTAAGGACCCGTTTTAAAGGGGTCAGTGCCGCTTGAATTCTTCCCTGTACAACATTTGCATTCGGGTACCATCGTGAGAGTTCGTGCATTTCCGTGAGATTCGCCTTCCAACCCTCGGCGACATGGCTCTATCGCAATCTGGAAAATCTTTACAACATTTCCTTAAATTTTCCCCAAAATATTAAGTTTTAAGTGAAAATGTGTTTATGATTAGTCAGTATAAATGAAGTTTAAGTAGTATATTGTTAAATAGTGAGTTTGTTTGGTTCTGTTTGGTGTCAGTGTTAGTTAATTGTTGTGCTTACACACTGTGCTGTAAGGGGTGCACGCAGTTCGATATTAAGGTAAAGATTGTAGCGAGCTTCGACGCTATTTAAAACATAAAATGTTAGACAAAAACCGACATTATTTAAATACAATCGCAACATGGTATTTTATCAATTTAATAACAAATACATATTCTTATATTTTACACTAGCTCCGAATGTGTCGAATGATTATGTATAAGTGGTTAATTTGATATATTTTGTACTTACAGAATCGAAGCCATGAAAGACGTGGATGACGACTATGACTGAAAGGGGAGACGTTAATAGGATGCTGGGTAAGTTTTCTTTAGTAATAATAGTTAATGATAACAACAAGAAGGTACCTACGTACTACTCGTATATAGGGAAGTATTGAAGAACGAGCCCATACTCTAATCACGCTAATCCTTATTAGCACATTTAGCGATTGCACCTAACTGATTCATTCAAAGGGCATACAGACCTACGTGCTGCCGTGTAGCTTAAGGAGATTCACATACATAATAAACCTTTTTATAGGTACTCATCCGGTATTTCAATTGAAATTATTTAGTAGCTTTGCCACCAAATAACAGATTCAGTTTTTTTTTATAATTCTTTATTCATATTATGCTAAGTAACTGTCAAACTGATTTTGTTTCGTATTCTAAAGAAATGTATATATTTAAAATATTTTATTTCAATAACTAAGACGTACTTGAATTTAAAAAGAAAACGCATTATAATATGTTCTAAAACCGAAGGTAAATGAATTAAACCAATTATTGGAATCATTTCATTGAAAATTAAAAAATCTTACTCAAGCGATATCCTCTGGAAAACCTTTAGTCCCTGCATTTAATAGCAGCAATTTATTTAAAATATTTAAGACTGTATTAAATACTCGTACTGTATTAAATACAAAAACGCACTCTCTTCCCATATGCTTAGCTATATTTTTGTTTGTGCTTCACACTCGACGATACGCACCACTTTACGCACACGCACGCAATTAGAATGACACTATTACAAACAATGTTGAGTACGGACTTTCGCAAGAACACTTTGCAGATGGATAATGGGTGTGCCATTAATAGTACAACAATAATATTATGCAAACTTTTTTATTTCCTCGTAGGTAAATACTAGAGTTTTGTATGTTATCAAGCGTTTTATGATCGAAACCTTGAGCCTTTGAAATCTTGATACTTAAATCTAAATAATACATGCACAATGATACTTACCTAAAACATAGTCATTTTGGCATTAAGTCTGCCATTGTAACTACCTATTGTGCGCAAAAAGTATCACTACTTACTACTACGCCATCATAGTTACAAGACCCAAAGTTAAATACCTGCGTGATTTGATTTTGTTCCAGAATCTATATAAATATACTTTTCTACAGATCTTATAGCCAATAATTACCAACATAGATATTGAGAAACTCCTAATTATTCAAGTACTGTTGAAAACTATTGACTTCAATACTGATAGTTTCTGGAAAGTTTCTAAAACACTTTTTTTGACCGGGTAATACGATTATACTCAACAAGGGACATCAAGACATCCTACCTTGGTGGTCGTAATTTGTCACGCTCGTATCATTTGTCATCATCAAGTCAGTATTCAGTATTCGTTTAATATTTAAATCACTATTAAACTCTACTTTAAATGATGTAGGCATTCGATTGCGGATGTCATGGGGAACATTTCCGCGTCGCCATTACTTATACGTGAACTGAATTATACGTTTCGCTTTAATTTTTATTGATTGTTTTATGTTATATTTTTTTGTTTTCTTGTGGTTTTTGTCAATAGTTTTGCTGGTTACCTGACCTTTTTGGACTTGACACCGTCCTCTCATTATCATAAAAGATCAGTAAATATGGAACTGTACATGGGATAAAAGAGACATTATGAAAATACTCGATGAAAAACTGTTTTTGAATAATGAAAATCACTGTCCATTTAAACTTAACTTATTCTTCAGAACATTTTAAAATAAGAGTTTTTTTAACGTTGAGCATTGGGAACATTTGTTTTAAACGTTGTGTTTAACATTTTAAGTAATTAATTTAATGCCTTTTTTCATATGAACGTCATCTTACCTCTACAAAAAGGAAGAATTTTCTTATAATTATTCGTTTGAAACGTTTTGTAAAGCATATTAAATGAACATTAAAATTTGCATTTAGTACAATTCTCAATAGGGTCCACTTAAACTTAAAATATATGTCAATCCATCAAATGTACAAACAAATCTGAAAATAGACATCCATTTTTTCCGATAGGTCGAAGTAAAATGGGTCCCTAATTTATACCCTAACTGAAACCACCCATTTATTCCGCGGTGGCTTAATGCAAAAGTGATGTAATTAGGCACTCCGGGAATTAAAGGGATCGATGAGGAGAAAATATCGTCGGTTTGTGATTTTAATCGAGTTATCCTCAATTAAGGTCGGACTGATAACTCCGTAGTCCTTCAATATTTGCTCTTGCCAAGCAATTATTTGGTTCACAAATATTAATTTACTTGTCAACGGATCAGCCTGAGTGGTTCAGACTTTAGTTTAATGACGTAACGCTTAGTTAAACGTAGTTAATTGCTTTTCTCTGTAGTATAAATCTTTACAGCGCTCTGTGATGTTTGAAGGCCTCATATCTTTGAAAACGAATTTTTCACGACCATATGAGTTATATAGTCCAAAAATAGAACATCACGTATCTGTTATAAATTATTTTTTACTTTACAAACGAACCACATTTTTTATAATTAATAATGAATAATTCATGTTCAAAGTCTGTTTGTGCCATTTCCGTAAATTGGGTATTCTTTTGTTTCCATTCGGTAAGGGAAATAAATTGAAAGATGTTATTTTCAGAGAATCTTTTCAAAGTGAAAAGTTGAATATCTTAAAAACTAGCGACCTAAGAATGACAGATTATTTTGGCTTTTTTATATATCATAACCCATATTCGGGATACTTACGTCGTTAGCAAAATATTTATGTAGTTTCTGTTTTCTCTTTTATTCTTACATATATTGCGCGGATTATCTCAATTCCATACGTAATTTAAATACATATACCTATATATACATTTAAACTTGGTGTGGGAAAACCATGCTTCGGCATGAATGGGTTGGCTCGACCGGATTGATACCACGGCCTCACAGAAAACTGGCGTGGAACAACTACAGTGTTGTGTTTCGCCATGTGAGTGAAGTTACCGGAGTAACCTTCCTTCCCCTCCCCCAATCCCTAAATCTCCAAATCCTTAATCTCTAATCCCCAAAAGGTCACCTACGCACTTGTAACTTCTCTGTCGTTGCGGTGTCCATGAGTGGCGCTGATTGCTTACCATCAGATAATCGGTCTGATCGAATAGAAATGAAGGAATAGATTAAGATTTCGTAATTGGAATTTCTGCTGAGAAACCCAATAAAAGGTATTAACTATCTAATCTCAGAATCGAATACGCAACCTCTTGTGCAGCAGTAATTCTTAGAAAATTGTTGTCAAAAAAAGCAACCAAAAATTAATATATTTTTCAGCTGAATTCGTTTGCTTACAAGATACCTTTCTGCTCACTTGTTTTTCTTTATTCTAGTCCGATAGTAGTATTTAAGATAGCTCTTATAATTAATTAGCTACGTGCTGACGCCGTCATATTAATGTTTATTGTAATTGGATACTCAAAGCACATCAGAATAGAAAGCACGTAGGTTTATAGCGTGCAGTGATTACCGCTACGCCACGACTGCCTCATATTGCATAGCAGCATTTCTCTATAATCCTTCGGTAGAACAAGAGGTAACGATCAGTGGCAAAATTCCAAACCCTTCCAGCAAGGACGTAAAAATCTTAGAATGAACGTGGACGATAATTCATAATCTAATAACAAAGTGGAGAGTGCACTAAGCAACGTCGTATTAAAAATGATTGGACGTGTGTGGTGTGTATTTTTAGCCTTATATAGAAATCACGCCAAGGCTCCCGGAGTGTCGCCGCGAGATGCAACCAGTAATAAGTTCGCCTTTTGTCACTGTACAACAGTGATAACCTCTTGATAAACAATTCTTACTCCCACACAAGAGATAAACCTGGAGAGTATTCAAGAACTATCAACATTAGTGTAGTGCTCAGGGACACGAATAGCTGTGGTGATGTGTTATTCAAATAAACGCGTACAAAAAATCGAATTGAAACTTGTTTTGAAAAACAACAATAGCCAGCGGCAAAGCAATAAACAACTAGTGCATGAACTAAAGATTAGCAAAAGAAAGAAAAAAACAGTGCCCCTAAGATAACATTCAGTAGACGTGGTAGATAAAGATAAACTAGTCTAAAGTTCTTAGTAACTGTGCAAAATGATCGCCTTGGTGTTGTGCTTGCTTGGTAAAATAATTGAAGTGACAAAAAGTGCACACAGTAATTGTGAATTGGAACAATTTCAACCTAGGAACAGAAAAACTCGGAAGCGGAGAAAAAGAGCTCGGAAAAAGAGGAGACGGCAAGGTAAAGTTTTTAATTCCGTGATAATGTGCTGTTCTGATCTCATCTAACTTCAAGTTATCATGAAACTTTACTCATTTCAGTCATAGGTCCAATAGGAACACTTATATTTCTCGAAATCCTCATCAAAACACATACTTTAAAGTGACATGTTGACGTAATGTTTGGCATTGTTGCACCAATACTAATATTTGTGTTAATAGCAGCTGTACAAGTCTGATTTATTAATTTATTCAATTGTTTATTTCTAAACGCCCTCGTTACCCTGTATATTCAACCTATGTTTCTGTAGCCAAGGTCATCAGTTAATACATGATGTAACCACACGTGGGATGCCAAGTGGTACGACAGTGTCAGGTTTCAAAACAAAAGAAAATCCTGTCCAACGACATCTATGAGATACAGATGCAACTAAATTGTAGTGCATCGTTTCTGATACGTAACATTATTCATCGAGGACGGAGTAGATAGTGTTCGGTATCATTTATTATTACTAGATGGCGTTAGTTGCTCAATAATATTTATTTACAACTCTTGTTAATGTCCGGGATTGGATAACGTTGTCAAAGAGTTTTATACCTTAATTTATTAACTAAAACTTATTATTCATTATAAGTTATTATTGTTAAGACTAACCATTACTAATTCTGTACTAAAAATTCTCCACTACCAAGTCGCTTTTTATAGGCAATAAACTTCTAATTTACTCATTAGTCACTTTAAGTTCTCATAAATAAATCATAAGATTATACACGACGGAAGTTGAACGACAGTTTAATGAAAGAGTTTATTATTCTTTTGATTACGTGCAAATCTATTTCGCAATACATTTGCTGCGTCCGGCTTTCGAGCCTTTGTCTGTCACTAAAAGGACGTATGACGAATACTTGACCGAATGAGCTAAGTGTAGGCGAAAAAACCGGCGAGAAAAGGCACTTCACAGTCAGGGTCGTTTTCAAAATTTACATCTTGACGTCAACGGTAATCTTCAATAAACAGTGTAGTTAAGTACCTACGCCAAAACGTATTTAACTACCAAAAGAACCATTAAGTACATTCAATTTCATTCCAACTTCATGAGAATAATCTGTTAGAAGTTCAGAACTCAGCTAAAATGTATGTCCTAGTCCATAATCAACACGTTCATGTCCGTTCTTATTCTTTAGCTTACAAAAATAATAATAAGTACTCAAATTCAGTAGACGTAAGTATGGCAGAGACAGTCGGAGACGATAATTGACTTTTCGACTGTGTTGATTTCTACGTTTATATTAAAAAACAGTTTGGATACTTTTTAAGTGTGTGAACCCAGCGCTTTGAGAAAAAAAGACTTGTGGTATAGTTATGAGTTAATATGACTTTAGTATGACTGAACCTTTAAATAGGAACGCCTAATAGCCATATTGTGGTTCTGAGAGCCTTATAGTTTAACTTCACGTCTAATTTATAGCTTTAGCAGTGGTGTTAGTGTCGGACACTGTTTTACTTACAATTAACTGTATAACGTATGTTCGTAGACGAAGTATGGGAATGAGGAACAAGCAATCCGCATTAGTGTCTCGATTTGCGAGGTCATTCACTTAGCTCTGTAATATGACTGATTTGGCAAACATACCGTTACATTTTTAGCCATCTGTAGCTACTCTGTTTAATACAAATATGGTCTGGTTTTGTACTAACTCTATTAACCCTATTTTTGTGTTATTTAGTTATTATATTTTTGGTTTACCTAATGAATTTTTTTCTTCAGTAGGTATGGAATATAAATTTGTGCCCGGTGCCGGTGTATTTTTAAAATATTATAAACGTCAGTTTGTAAGTATGCGTGGATAGATGGGTGTTTGTTATTCTTTCTCGTGTCTCAAAACTACTGGACGAATTTTGATGAAAGTTGCCACAGAGATAGATTATAGTCTGGGATCACACATGAGCTACTTATCATCGAGGCCGCGATACACAAGCGAAGCTAGTTGAAGCTATATTTTTTATTATTAGGGCTTGCTGTTGTGTCCAGTATGAATGATAACACTGTAATTCCTCTCCCCTCCTATTTTCATTCCTACCACATTCTCAGAAAGCAAGTGTAAGATTGTAGGCATTTCTGTTTACCCCTTCCGGAGATTAAAAGGCATGTATGTTTTGTTATAATTAATTATTCTCAAGGTTCACTAGATAGCAGACTGTTGACTTTTAGAGTTAATATTTTGTGACTTTCTTCATTAATTCATAGTCAGTAGTGTTGTTAACAAGATTATACTTACACATATTTTATTTTACCAGTAATATCTTTCAAAGGTAGGTAGGTACTATTTACATTTTATTATTTAGGTATTTTTGATATTACGGCGAGTAGCTAACATTTATTAAAGTTTAAATAATTCAATTTAGCCTTCAAAAATCGTACTTACACTTAATTGTTATAAACAATGAATAATTCATTAAACCTGCATACTTGAAAACAGTCATTAGCTACGTTTTTATCATTTTATTTAAGCAAATGTTTTAAACGTGTGTCGCACTCATCCAAGTCACATCTGTTTATTCAAAATTTATACAATAATGCAATATGAGTGTAAGTTTGACCATTACTTCTATTATTTATGCACCCTACTACTACCTTTTGAGAGACTGGCGGTAAACTGTGACGTATCTACGGAATGAAGTTGGCGCGCATGCGTACGTCAGTTACGGGCGCTGCGCCTGCGCGTTTGACGCTTTACACGGCGGTGCTGTAGTCGTGATCCGATTAACAACGTCAGTTTTATTTTTATTCTAACATACAATACTATGATTATTACATTTATTTGTGCATCGTACTGCTTGATCTGATTAATAAGAAAACATTGTCACGAAATAATAGCGTTTCTTATCGAAATTCTCTGTAACATAATCAGCTGCAGTTTTAACAATTGCCTGCGAGCGTAGAAAAATTATATACAAGTGCTTTGATTACACATTCCTGAATCTGTGTAATATTTTCCTGTTTGCATTCCGTTTCGCAAGCCGCAAGTGTTAACACTGTTCGGTCGTAGTATACTCCAATTAATCCCGTTCTATTTGTATCCCGTCCCGTTCCCGTCGCGATCCCAGTTACTTGTGGCTATGTTCACTGCGTTCGCTGTCTCGTTCCCGCGCCCCGCGCTCATTCACGCGATTCATCCAATATTCCGACCGGGAATTCGGGATAGCGCGTTCGCAGCTGTCAAATCAAGCGATACGCGCACGACTAGTTGTAACAATATAGTATTGTAACCTCGGTTTTTTCACTTGCAGTGTCTTTACTTGTGTTTGTCACGTGCAAAAACAATGTGAAAAGTGGTTGTTAATATTTCTAAGTAACTTGTATCCTTTCTGACTTGTAATATTCGTAAAATCGATCGTAGACGCGAAATATGAGGTGTTTTTACCCTCGATGTGTCGAAGTGTATAGTGATGAAGGTGCCTGATTTGCGATAGTGTACCTTATTCGAACACTACATAAAGGATACATTGAGAAAAGAAAATGCGGATCAAGACATACTCAGATTTTCGCCCGAATGGTAAATAAATAATGCATTTAATTAATAAGTGCTTGTATAGTACCTACCTACCGATAAGAATTAATCCAATTAGATTAATAGACTAACAGATAATGTGTAAATACGCTTGGGGTTCATTAATTGACACTCAGAATTTATTTTATAAATAAATAGAATTAACATTCGTTCACTATATAGGTACCTTTGTGTCTACCTACGTATATACGCCCACCTCTGGCACCTAGTGTTTATCAAACATCATAAACATTATAAAATAATGAAACTACCTACTATTATAATATACAATAATGAAGCACTTGCATCACTGCATGCGGGTGTTGTCGATGTCGTAAGAATGATGTCTGATTGTCAGTCGTTGACGTAGTCACATTAGGCACGGCTAATAATTGCAATGAAAATGTTCTAACACGCTATTGTTATTAAAGAAAGTCAAATTTCACTGGCTTACGTTTTTGTTCTTATGTAAAAAAAAAACTTTCGTTAGAATTGTTCTTTACAAGTGTCAAAACTAGTAGACGGTCATTTGTGAAATGGTAATTTGTTATATTGTTTTGGTACTAAGTAATTTCACATCCTTAACGTTTCTTTATGTTGCATAAACATGTTTTGTTGTCGGTACGTGCTTGTTTATTGACAACAACCGTCGGTATGCTAAAAAGAACTCCAAGAATGTAATGCACTTAAAGGCTTTTTACAAAAATAACAAGAAAATACATACTTCACCATATTCTCGAGGCAGACGCTGATTTGTATCGTAAGAAAAAAGTAAGTAGAAAGTTGCAGACTCATATCATTCGCTCCACGCGAGCCCGATAGGCTATCACTGCTATCATCATGGCGATCTTAAGACTATCATTCTATCGCTGTTCTTGGCAGATGTGCTAAAAGATTTTAGAAAGCATTCTAACACATTGGTACAAGTTTATTCCTTTTGGAATTGAAGTAAACACAAATGTACCAAATTAATGAAAATGGGGCACGACAGAACATTGGTAATTAGGAAAAGTATTACAGAAAATTCGTACAAACCAATCTCAAACTTTGGTACAATTATTCCAGGATAAATGAGAAATGTTCAATCTACTTCCAAAAACTAATTCAACTTAAATGTTGAAATTAGTTTTAGGAAGTTGTAATCAGGCTAATACCGAAACATTAAGAAGTATGTCAGGCACAAAAGGTACCAGAGTAACAGTAAATAAAAGAAATCGAGTAATGGACGAGAAAATTGTACCAATCTCAATCAATTGGCAAATTTTGATCAAACTTGGACAAAGAACTTTGACCTATGACATACGTAGTTTAGTAGAACAGAACACTTTGTGACCATTTCTAAGTCATACGGTATCTAAAGAAATGGCTTCGGGCCTCCGGCTCATTGCAAATGCGCTAAAGATTAGCACAGTCATCACCGCCGTCGCATTATACCAAAGAATTCAGGCTCAAAGCGTTCTAATGATTTAA